TAAAATAGAAGTTGTGGTAATGTTATGCATATGTCAGTAAACTTCTGCATGTAGGTAGTGCGTGTCATCCACAATTATGACAGACTGATTTCTTAAGATTTTGTTTCTGGTATTTAGTACAAGGTCTCACTACATAGATGGGACTCATAGTGATTCTCCTGTTTTCAGCCTCCTAAGAGCTGGGATTACAGGTGTGTGCCACCACGCCCAGTCTCAATCCCTATCTCCGTGCAGCCGAGGGTGGGGCCAGCATGACATGCTGGGGATCAAGCCAGGTCCCTGCATCTGCCTAACCAGGCGCTTTAATCCGCTGAGCTACCTGGGTCACCTAAGATCATTTCTTTTTTTTATGATATTAAATCTATGAATATATATATATATATATATATATATATATATATAGATATATATATATATATACTTCAGAGCTTACCAAAACTTTTCTTTTGAAATTTTAAGGAGCTAATACTTTGGGTGCAAAATATTCTTTACCATGTGTTAATGATTTCATTTTTACATAAATAACTGCGATGAGTAGGACATGGAAAATAAACTACACAGGTGGCAGTATCCGAGCTGGCGGTCTGCGGAAGTGTTGTTATGTTACTTCACTTTATACTTGCAATAAAGTCATCTTGTCTTCTTCACTGGTAAGCACAGTCAGTGGAATACTTTTTCTCTGGCACTTAAGAGCTTTTAGGTGGCTCAATCATTATTTACAGGAGCAAAGATAAAAGTCTTCACAATTCCATTGCCAATGGTTTTCCTTTTTTCAGGAATCAAACTGAGGACCCTGTGCTTGCCAGGCAGGTGCTGCGCCAACACTTAGCTATGTTCTCGGCTTTCATGTTGATATAAATTTGATTACTATCTCATCTTCTCATTTTTTTCCCTCTAGGAATCCTGTCTTTATTCTAAAAGAGATAAAAAAAAATACATATACTCACCACAGGCAATTCTGATAATTTCCAGTCAGTGCTGTATTGAAGACTAAAAAGCACTGAACTTATTAAAGAGGAAATAAATTAATTGGATTTAAGAGAAAATTGTGCTAAATCCCCAAAGTTTCTCAATTCTCAGTATACAGTAATGTTATCAATACAATGCTTCTGTGTCATAAAAACAACAATGGAGGTGTTGGTAAGGTTGAAAATGAAGCTCCTATGCAAAATTTCTGAAATGAAGATAAACTAGAAAGTTAATGAAGCTGATTCTAGGATATCATAAACAGAACTCGAATCATTGAATACCAAGAAAGTGAAGTTTTCATCGATGAAGCTAGTCCTTTTGTGTAAACGAAAGGAAGAAAGGTGTTGTTGGTTACAGGATAGTGATGAGGGTCAGGAGTGCTGGGGTGGGGAGGACCTCGGCTTGCACACGAGCGGGCTAGGTTCCCTCCCCAGCACTGCAAAGCAGAAGGAAACTGAGAGTGGAGCGCGCACGTATATATTTTCCTAGTCTTTTATGTTTGCTGGCTTTAGTATCAGGTATACATTATTGAAGATTTAGAGACACTGAAAATAATGTTTAATGCTCCCACTACATGTTAAATACAAAACTTGCCTTTCCGTTGAGTGCATTGCTCTGAGTTGCTTTCCTTTCTGTGGCATGAGCTGCAATTATTGACTGTGAGGAAAGGGCCACAGACAAGTCCTGGGACAGTGATACATTCTGATGGTTGGTCATTCAGTGGTCACAGCCACAAGGTACCAGGTGGGAGCCAGTGCTGGGAATGGCAGGGGACCTTTGTGCTATTCATAATGCAACTTCCTTTTTAAAAATTTATTAGAATATGTTTGCAATGCATGCAGCTTTCAATCCCCAGGAATGGTTACCTGTCCATATCACAACGGGTTCTCCTGCCAAATTGCTCTGGCTAAAGTTTCAAATACTCTGTTGAACAGCAGAGTTGATAGTGGACGCCTGGTCTTATTTCTAAACTTAGGGGGATGCTTGTATGTTTTCCCCACCGCATGATTCTGGCTGTTGGCTGCTGATAAGCGGCCACACTGAAGGTGTGGCCCTTCGGTGCCTGCTTTCTTCTAGGTTTTTGCCATGAGGGGTGTGGACTTTTGTTCAAACCCATTTCTGCATCTACTGTTTTGATCATGTGGTCTTTTACCTTGCTCTTGTTTATGCGACGTATTCCATTTACTGACTTGCATGGATTGGACCATCCTGGCGCATCTGGGACGAAATCTACTTGATCATGATGTACAAGGTGCTACATTCTAACACTGAGGATTCTTGCATTTATTTTCATTAAGGAGATTGGCCTATAGTTCTCTTCTTCAGTTGGGTATTTATCTGGTTTGAGGATCAGGATAATGTGAATGAATTTGAGAGCATGCTGTCTTTTTTAATTTCTTTGAAGATCCTGAAGCATGTTGGTGATATAATGTCCTTAGCAGCTTTGTATAATTCAGCAGTGAACCCAACATGTCCTGGGCTTTGTGAAATCGGTGGCTTCCTCACTTCTGTGCCAGTTTCTCTGGGTGTAAGTCCTCTGCTCCGTGGTATGGGAAAGCAACAAGAGGAGTCCAAGTGTCCCACTGATGTTAGGGCATGTTGCTACACCTCTGGATAGGGCTAACAGGGTCAACTATTAAGCATATTGAGGCCTTTAAAAATTATATATGGCACCTCTCTTTTATCTTCTGTGTTTGTGGGACTACTCCACACTGCACACCAGAGAAACCAGAAGTGTGTGGCCTATGTAGAGACCTTTAGTAGGCTGCCATCTCCCCAGAAGCAATTTTCAGCTTTGTATTTCAGCCCAGTGCTAAGGTTCACTCCTTCTTCTATTTAAGTGACTCTGACTCTGTCCCTAAGTGTTGCTGAAAGTCCTGATTGGGTTATAACAGTATGTACAGGATTGATCTTGTGGTGCTTCTGCACGAGTCCTTGAGTTACTCTTCACCCTCATCTACTGTGAAGAGTAGATGTGAAGTAGGTGGGGACAGATGAGGGAACTGGATGCTCAGAGGGAGAACAGTGGTAGAGGAGAGATAATATTGATATGCGTTTTGATTTCATTAGAACACTTCTAGCTGAGCTGAAGGGTAGTGCTGAGGGTTTACAGAGGGTGTTTTATGGGAGTAAGGGTGAAACACTGGAGAAAGTGGGTTCACTTCATGGTTTAGGCAAGCCATGTGGATATCAAAGTTTGCTTACATGGAGAACAGTAGCTAAGTAAGATATGAAGTGCTGAAGGCTCCCCGTACAGGCAGGACGGGGAATTACAGTTGTGAGGACAGAAGTGACCATGAGGGATCTAAGTGTGGTGAATTTAAGAACTGGGGAGGAGGAGCTGATGTGTCTGAGGAATAAAGAGCTCTGTTAGTGATGTCTTGGGAGGTTGAGGAGAGGACTGCAGACAAGGGAAGCTCTGAGATGTCTGTTACACCAGAGGCCATGGCCAAACACACAATTGTAACAACCTATAAACATGAAATAATAAAAGAACATCAAGTCACTCCATGTTACTAACTACAGCAAGAAGGATTCCAAAACTTAATGCAGTAAGGTGTCCCATGGGAACACAGGTTAGCTAACCCACGGAGACACTGCACACGTCCCAGGAGCTGGTCAAGCTCCAGATCACAGCTATGGCACAGGGAAATGGGTTCAATACAGACAATGCAAACATGGTTTGAGAGGGTCCAGGTGAGAACTCTCTTGGAGCTAAGACAAGGGTTTTCTGGATCACCCATAATTACTGGGTCCTTCACAATTCAGAGGAGTACAGAAAGTGGAAGGCACATCTGAGGCAAAATCCTGCAAAAATGATAAGCCTTGAGAAATTAGAACAAAGGCAATAAATCTTGCGCTAAGAGAACTGTTTGTTTGATCCTTAAGGTTGCCACTGAGGGCCCTGAAGCTTTGTGTGATTTCAGCAGCAAGCAGCTTCAGCATTATCTTGTCTTCAGAGGCTGTGAGCATGAGTTTTATAACACAGCCAAAGAGCAAGCACTGTGGTCAACGACTGAACCCTAGTGCAGCCTGGTCTCCAACACATCTGATTCCCAGTAGCTTCTGTCCCACACAGCCTGACTGCTCAGGCCCGCAGTAACTCCTCTGATCCCTCCAGGACCTCTTTATGCCAGGTTGCAACTGTTCTTGCAGCATATGCAGGAGTCAGAGTTGTGTGGTTGGAACTCTTGCTGTCCTTGCACCTGGGTGTGACAGTGGATAGGACAGACACTGGCACTCAACAGTCCACTGAGTCTGGTAGTCTTATGGGATCAACTCTCCACAACAGCAGGCTAAATCGCACCAGGGGAATCTATCCGGGGTAGCTGAGCAATAACATACCATAATACCTGTTTTGGGGGCTCCCTCTAGCCTAGAGAAGAAATGCACAGCTGTTGTGTAAGCGTTGTAACAGCCCGGCCCTTGACCCACAGTTACGTGCCTGAAAGCAAAAGCTGCGCCTCCCTCACTAGTGCAAAGCAGCGTCCAACAGTAACTTTATAGCATCCGTCATCTTAAGCCCTGGTAAGGCCAGACAGGGGAAGAGAAGACAAAAGGGGACAGAGGGAAAATGTATTTTAAGTCCTCTCCTCTACGATAGGAGAAGGAAATAGGCAGGGGAAAGGGTCCTGTTCATGGTTAGGGTCGCTGCCCCAGGGGTCTGTGTCTTCCGTGGGCCCCGCCGCTATCTCTCCTCCTCCGGGCTCACGCCCGCCGCCTCTCTTGGGCTCTACGCTGGGATGTTCCCTTTAACTTCGTGCACTCGAGGCCTCTCCGTGGTTAGCAGGGCCTGCTTTGTACTCCAGAAGTTGTCGTGGCCCTCAGCCCGGGATCAAAGCTCTAGCCGCAGGGTGGGCGTGGCCGCGAGGGCCGCGCGTGTCATGCGTGCGTGCGTGCCTGCGTGCGTGGGAGCGTGCGTGCCTGTGTGTGCGTGCGTGCGTGGGAGCGTGCGTGCCTGCGTGCGTGCGTGCCTGCGAGCGTCGGCGGCCACACGCTCGGCCCCTCTCACTGTGGTCTGGTCTTTCCAGGTTCGGGCTCGTGCTCCACCGGGACGAGGCGGCGCTGCACAAGCTGGACCTGGAGACCATGGCGTACGCGGGCTCGGTGGACCTGCGCGCGCACGGCTGCGTGCCCCTCACGCTCGCCTACTCGCACTTGGGCGGCTACTACTTCGTGGGCTGCCGGCCCGGCCCGGGCGCCGCCGCCGGCCCGC